TCTGGTGCAGGATCCGTTTTGTAAAAAACACTGGCTGGGACTTGCTGGTGTGTTGGAAATGGGACATGGAAGGAAGAAGGGCATCCGGGATGACCCCAAGGTTTTGACCAGAGCAGCTGGAAGAATGGAGTTGTCATTCCCTGAGTCAGTGAAGACTGCAGAGTTTTGTGATGAGTGCTGGGACATGCTTATTGTTTGTCCAAGCAAAATTGTTAGGGGGAATTGAATCTACACATCTGGACTGAAAGAAAATGTTTGGATGTTGTCAGCGCAGAGAGATCATGTCTAAAGCTTTGCACCTGGCTGACTTTCCTGAGGAGTGAGTGTAGATTAAGAGGAGGCAAGACCTGGGGACCGAGACTTGGGGCTCTTGATGGCTTGAGGTCAGGGAGGCACAAAGGAACCAGTGAAGGAGAATGTGCAAGAGCAGCCAGTGAGGTGGTTGGAGAACCAGGAGACAGTGAGATATCTCCAGCACCAAATGGAGGAGGAAGCCATCAACTTTGTCACATTCTGCTGATGGGTCAGGTAAGGTGGGTTTCATTATGGACCATCAGATCTAGCCACATAGAGAACATTGGTGACAAGAGTGTGTCTGAGGGAGTGGTGTGAAGCAAGTTTCAGAGAGAACGGGGGACCAAGGAACTGGAGACAACACTTTTGAGCATCTCTAAACGGAGTAGAGACTTGGGACAGAAGCTGGAGGAGATATGGATGGTAACTGAGAATTATCCAGCAGAGAGGAGAGATTGTGCGGAAGAGAGGAGACAAATGCAAGAATACAGCCTTGGGAAGCAAGGAGGGGGTGACATCTAGTGCACAGGCGGAGGGTTGGCTTTAGGCAAAAGCAAGGACAATTCTTGCATCAGACTGGGAGGCAAGGAAGAGTGTGTGGGCACAGCTGCAGGTAGGTGCGTGGGATTCTGCCTCCTTCTATTTCTCAGTGCAATAATGTGCTTTGAAATGGGCACTTGTGCGTTACTGATGGAAGTGGTATCAGATCGTTTGGCATTAGACTTCCCAGCTTGGCAGCTCGGCATTCTCTTGCCCCAAGACAGGGCTACCTGCAGGACTCCTTAGAACTGGTATTAATGGAGTTCCTTTGCTGATCGGAGCATCACCTCTACTAACAAAAGCCTGAGTTATAGGGTGTCCATAAGTCCCTGTGGTTTGGGCTTATAACGGATTTGCTTCCAGACAAGGTATACATTATTTGTGAAATGCAACCAAGAGAGAATTTACTAGAGATTTAACTAAAGTTGCTTATGTTTGGCGTTCTTTTTTTCTTTCTTTCATTTTGCAAGTAATGAGCTCTACATTATATTATGATGGCCATATGCCAGTGTATTGCAAATGATGGTGCATGCATTGAAAGTCGACCTTCCTGCGATCAACTGTGCTAAATCTTGAATAAATTGTCTCTTTGTTGCTTTTTACAGATTGTTTATATTTTGTATAGAAGTGAATTTTTTAAACATCCAAATTGCCCGGGGAATCTGTGGATGCCCTGTTCATCTCTAGTTCTTCTCCCTGTAAGACACGCCTCCCTCCCCAGAGCACTTATTGCCTTCTCCGTCTCTTCGTAGATTTTATTCCCCCCCCCACCAACTTTTTTTATTGTGGTAAAATAAACATAACATAAAATTTACTACCTTCACCATTAAGTGTACAGTTCAGTGGTATTAAGTACACTCATATTATTATACAATCATCACCACCATTCATTTCCAGAAATCTTTTTATCTTGTAAAACTGAAACTCTGTACCCATCAAACAATAACTCCCCGTGGACCCCTCCTCCAGATTTTGCATGGCTCAGAGGGCCTCTCCTGTGACCCCATCACCCAAGTCCTAATCAGTCTGTTTCCTTCCTCTACGATGTTATGTTATTCGCTGCTTTTTAAAATCTCCTTCTTTTGTCTCTGCTAACATGCAGCCTTACCACCCCCTCTCAAGAGTGGAAATATCTTTGCCCCCCTCCCCTTTGAAGTCAGTAGCTGGTATTCACAGGATAATAAAAGCCCACAATACCCTGATGAAAAAGACTGGGAAGATGGTGGTGGGGGTGTGTGTGCTAAAGTCAGGGACTGAGGTTCTTGGAGTGTCAGCCACAGTGTCATGTTTCCGAAAAGTGACCTTGCAGTAGCTAGCAAGAGACACATAGGTGCTGAAATCCACTAATCTAGTAATTCCTCTTATATTAAAATGTGTGCAAAGATTTATGCAGCACGGTTTTGTGCATAATAGTGAAGAACTGGGAGTTGCAGCCATGTCCACCTGTAGGGGCTTGGCTAGATAAAGTCAATATGGACTCCTGTGCCACCAATAAAAATCATGTTTGAGTTTAATACATGGGAAAATGTTTATGCTATAATGGAAAGTGAACAAAACAAGATAATAAAAACGGCATGTCTGTGATGATTTTCAATCTTTTTGTTTGTTTGTTTCTTAATTCTATCTGCAGAGAAAGACACAGTACAAAGCCTCAATATGAAACAATGGTTACCTCTGGGAGGTGGAATGTTGTGTAATTTTAAATTTTCATGCATTGCTTTGCTTTTTGTATTTTCTATGACTGTACATCTCTTTCCTAATCAGGAATATAAAACAAGCACATTGAGAACTGAACAATCGTACCTAAAATTCAAAGAAATGCAAATTAAAATATATTTTTGTTTCGACCTAAGTAAATGAGGAAGTATAGGGCAAAAGAGTCATTTTCCAGCGAGGCTGGTTTGTGGTTTCTAGAGCTGTCTAGGGTATGTGTGTGGAGGAACTCCGGCTGTTGCTTAACAACGCCCTCATATAACACAATGGGAATGTGGTACTGTGTATCTTTGAGAAAACAACGTGGCCCTCCTATGAATGGAGAGTGTCTTGAAGAGAAACCAGACAGATATTTCTAAATTTGCTGAGAACAAGTTCTCTTACTTGCTCTCAGATGATACTCCTTTGGGGTAACCCGAAACGTGGTTGCTAACTCAGCAAGTTAAGCAAACAATATCACAGGTCATGTTGAAATTGAAGTGGTCCCCATGCGCCAGGGCAGTGGGGTACCGGTGGAGAAGAAAATTAGCTTCCGGGTTGGGACAGACTGCCCAATTGTGAGGACACTAATGGGACGCCATCTAGTGGCCAGGTGGCACCCAAGGTGGACCTCTCAGAGGCAGGTGGCCATGGTTCCAGGTGTAGTTTTCAGCCTTGTGGGGCCAGAGGTGAATTCTGTTTCCGTGTGCTCAGGGACAGTATCTCAGAGATGAATACTAGCCCACCAGATCCTATACACACTCCAGGTGCAGTGGATTATAAGGGGTGATGGGCTCTTCCCACTAACCCAAAGCATATATTTTCCATTTTTCTTCGTGGCAAGGTACCTGGGAAGCCAACTTCTCCCTTAGATGATTGCTTAGTGAGCACAGAATAAACCTAAAGTGGGTAGGACCATCTGGAAAAAACTTGGCGTTTCTCCTAAGCACTGGGGCAGCCCCAGGATGTGGCCCTCCCCGAACAGCGACCCTCCTGTCTAAGGCTCCATCCATCTACCCAGATCCTGCAGGAGGCCACTGATAGCATCTGCCTCTGGGACTCCTGGATCATTTGTTGATGAGTCTCTGTCTGTGGACCATTTTTCATTAGAGATACTGATGTCACAGAACAGCTATCACCAAAGGCTTCACCACCCAAGGCTGCACCTGTCAACCTGAGTAGATCAATTCTGTTAAACTTGGAAATCTGGAGGCCAGGCCTCCCCTCCCTGCCGAAGTCATCTGCCTGCAGACCTTCTCCCTGGGCACTTCCCATTGTCCACCTGGGCTCTCTGCTCTTAGAGGCAGGACTGGTCTGTATTTGTTTCTTACAAATATAAGTGACGTATGACAATGTATAAGCTTAAGGTACACAGCATAGCAATTTTCTATACACATCCATCACCTCACATAGTTAGAATTGTGTTTTTTTTGTGGTGAGAACTTTTAAAATCTATTCTCTTAGAAACTTTCAAATGCACAAATCTCCTTTGCCTGGAGAGCCGCTTACCCTTACAGACTCAGGTCAGATGTTGCTGCCCTTGTGTTACTAATTAATGCAAAGCATGCTTCTTTGTTCACTTCTCTGTTCTGCATGCAAATATGAAGCACCGCTTAGGCACTGAGAGTAGAGGCCTGGGCTCACTCATCTTTGGAAGAGCTCTGGTGCTGAGCTCGCCTGTTGCATATACTATATGCCTGATCAAGGTTTTGTAATAATATACTGCTTTCATACGTATGTGTCAAAAGCTAAAAAGTTCCCTTGCCTTTTGACCCAGTTATGCCCATGGCATGGAATTTATCCAAAGGAAATAATTGAAGAGGAGAAAGGAAATCACACAGATGAAAGTGCTGTAATATACGTATTTGGTAAATATTGAAAATAAGTGACATGTTTATCAACAGAGTAATGGGGAGCAAATTATGGTACGGGATCTTTTTTTTTTTTTTTTAAGAATTTTTTGTTGTTGTTGGGGAATTGGGGGGATGGGAACAGTGCTGGGGAATTGGGGGAAGGGGAACAGACAAGTTGCTGTCGTTTTTGTTCTTCAGTCTAGTTGTGGAGGACGTTGCTTCACTGGCCCAAGTTGGCACCATCATTGCGCTTTTCCCGGGCAAGGCAGATCAGTCACTGGCTTCTGGATGGCCGCTCACTGCGGCTGCTGGCCGCTCACGCTGGCTGCTGGCTACACACGGTAGCCCATGGCAACCCACTGCCACAGGGGCTGCAGCCTACGCCGTCGCCGGCGACTCACAGCAGCCCAGCTCCAGGTTGAGCTGTTGTTCAGCATCTTAGCTGTAGAGGGCAGTGTCACTGGCCCTCATATGTGGGATCCGAACCGGGGCCCTCTGGCTCTCAAGCCAGTTCTTAATCATCGTGCCACTTGGCCGGCCCTGGTACGGGATCTTAATGGGATGGGTTTCATTCTCTCCTTGATTAAACAAACATACTGACCGCCACAGAGGTATCAGAAATACAGCAATGAGTCAGATGCCTTTAATGAACACATAACCTGGCAGCCTTCTAAAATGGTTATCACAATATTATCTAGAAACACAGAGCTATTTCTGGCCTAATGTTAAGAGCAGAAAAGCAGGTTACAAAACTGTCTGTACATTATGACTATAACTCGAAACATGTGAGGTGATGAACAAGGTCTGGATGGGCCAATGACAGCACTGCATGGTTAGTTAGACTGTACATGACATTTTCTTTAGTCTTATTACAATTGTTTCCCAAGCTTTAAAGTGTTGGACCATCCCAAATGTTCACTGAAAAAAGAAAGCGGCTCCCGTGACCCTGGCTCTCCAGGTTGGCAACGGCATGAACGATGGGGTCCTCCCCAGGTGGGCAGGCTTTGGCCACAAGATGATTGGGAGGGAATGTTCAAGGCAGTCTGGGGGCTAGGTCAGGGGAGGCTATCAATCTGTATATCCAGGAGTGCCCACTGAGGGCCACTGGAGGAACTAGCCTTCTCTGTGTCTGCGCTACACAGACACAAATTCCTGAAGGCTCCTCCAAGCTCTGTGAAAACCATGGCTTAAGCACGGTGCCAGGTGGGGGGAAGCTGAAGTTTGGAAACCAGATAAGCGTGTTGGGACCTGTCACAGTTGGTGGCTGGAAAAGATGCTACCCATGTGAAAAGTACCATTATCTCTATTCTACAAATGAGAAAACTGAAGCTTGGTTGGCCCTAAGCTACCCAGTGGGCAAGTGACAGAGCTGGGATTGGAAACCATCCCTTCTCAGTCTGGGCCAGGGTTCTTTCTATTTCTCCCTTTAGGCCCAGGGGCACGTGGAGGTGTATGGGGCCGGAGGGAAGAGACCTGGATGACAGGCTGCGTGGAGTCCTTTGAGAAGGGGATGCAATAAGGAGTCTGTTGGTGGGGCCGCATGATGGAGTGTCTCATAGGCCAGGCATTTGTGTTTGGATTTAGTGTAGTTTCCAGTGGAGCCTTTGTAGGTTTGGGGACATGATGAAAGGACTTTGATAAAGAGGAGGCTGTTTATACATGCTGGCTGGTGTGATTGGAGGGGAGGCTGGGCCAGACACATGGTAAAGATGGTGGGCAGCTCTTGTTTTATTTGATCAAAAGAGCGCCCACCCCTCCAGCTTCTTGGAAATAATGTTTCCCTGAACATGTAGCCATGAGACTGGAAATTGAAGCTGCTATCTTACAGGTCTAGGGCTGGACATCCTCTACAAACTCAGCCAATCAGAGCCCTTCCCCGGGAATTTTGACCTCGAGGCCAGAGAGGGATAGGTTTCAGTCTCTTTCTGAGGACAAAGTCATGTTATGTGAGTCTGGGAGCTCTGTTGCCACTTAGAGATTTGGGAGTCAGCGAGAGGCGTTTCTAGCTAGATTCAAGCCCTAGTTTCCACACATGCTGAGGGCTCAGCCACTCCCTTGCCCATGCCACAATATGAACAATACTCACCACCCCACTTTTGGTTAAGCTAGTCTGAGTTGAACTTTCATCATTTGTAACCAAAAAAGTCCTGACTTTTGCAGTAAGAGACATGCCTCCCCTTTATCATTCAAATTTTGAGCACAAAATTTGGGTTGTTTTAGAGACATTGGGTCCATCACTCTTTGCACGTAAGAAACAAACAAACAAACAAATCTGTCCTCATTATTCAGTGTCAGACTCAGGAACTCCAGGCCCTCTGTAGAGACAAGGCTTTGGGGAATCTCTTCAGAGAGGCATGGATGACTCCCCATCACTGGTGTAGTGAGTAAAATTGCTACTCAGGACACTTTCGCGCCTGCTCCTTTGTGATTCAGATGAGGAGAAACTGGCATGGACAGAACGACCACACAGGATAGCCAGGCATTTCCTATATAGGTGGTAAAGATATCTTCTGAACTTCTCTCCAGCAAATGCGTAGATAAAGGGATTGAGGCAACAGTGGATAAATGCAATTGTCTCGGTCATATTGAGGGCCAATTTCAGATTCTTCTTCATGTCACAATTGGGAAAGAAGTCATAGAGCTTGAGTGTGTCCAAGAAAATCATAACGTTGTAGGGCGTCCAGAAGAGGAAAAACACGATGACCACCAAAAAGATTAGTTTAATGGCTTTAGCTTTCTTGTGGTTCTTGCAGGAAAACAGTGTCCGCATGATCCTGAAGTAACAGTAACTCATAATGAGCAGGGGCAGCAAGAAGCCAATAATATTTGTTTCCATATTGCAGAGCACGGGCCAGATATCCTGCAGGACCTCAGGGTAGTCCCTGAAGCATTCATTTTTCTCATGTTTGGTGAACATGAACTGGGGTGTTGCCACCAAGATGGCTGCTGCCCAGACGCCTAAGCTGATGATGACGCCATGCTGCACGGTCCGGTTGTTTATGGAGTTGGCGGCCAGGACAATGGCCCGGTACCTATCAATGCTGATGATGGTGATGAAGAATATGCCGCCAAAAAAGCCAATGAAGAAGCAGGCGGTAGTGAGTTTGCACACAGCATTGTTCGAGCCATCTTCCCTGATCAGATAGTGAATCCAAAAGGGCAAGGTGCCTACCAAGAGCAGATCGGAGAAGGCCAGGTTCAGGAGGTAAATGTCGGTGATGCTCTTGGATTTCTGGCTGTGGGTGAGAGCAAATACCACCAGCAAATTCCCCAACAGGCCAAAGGCAAAGACGAGGGAGTACGCTATAGACAGGAAGGCAGTCCCGAAGACCACAACGTCCTTCATGTTACAAGCTTCGGCACCCTCCTCGTACTGAAAGTCTGTAGTTAATTCAGGAGACTGGGTGAACATGGTGAGGGTCTGTATCAGGAAGGGAGACAAGAAACAGCATGAGTTCTCAGAGTAACAAAGGTGGAATCCTGCCTGGTCCCGCACAGAGGCAGGCTGGAAGAAACAAGTATCAGTTGGTGCCTAACCAGCACATTTTCCCATGTCACACATGCTGTCTCGTTGAATCCCTGTGAGTCTCTGATGGAGGCTGTAACGGACTCCTGTGGCGTAAGAGGAAGCCGGGTCTCGGAGCGTGACTTGCCCAAAGCTACCCAGTCAGGGGCTCAGATGGCGTTTGAATCTAGGCCTTTTGAAGCGTGAGACAAGCCTCTTTTTTTCCCTCTGATTTTCAAGCTTCTCCAAAAAGTAGCTAGCTTTATCAGTGTGTGGATGGGGTAGAAAGGACCGTAGGCAGGGAGGTGAGGGGTGGGATGGTGAGGGGTGCAGCCATAATTCACACTTCCAGTCCAAACTTCCCTAAAGTGATTCTCCACCCCCTTCTCTTATTCCCACCGTCTCCACTCTCTGGGCCCTAATCTCAGCATGAAGCTGAGGCTGGAGAGACCTCAGAGGCCACAGACCCTCCAGAGCTCAGAGCAGACTCATGCCCAGAGGCCCTCATCTTTGTTTTGGGGAGCCATTTCTTTCCCTCCACCTCTCAGCCAATCCTCCTCTTCCTTAAGGGATAAGACACAATCACACACTCGATGGTGACTACCTGGTCTTGGTTTGCCCAGGACTTTTCTGGGGTTAGCACTGAAAGTCTCCTAAATCGGAAACCCCTCACTTCTAAGCAGACCCAGATGGTCGGTCATCCTACAACTCCTAGTGAGAAGGAAGGGTGGCCATCATCTGCGCCTTTGCTGCCATGAAAGGGCTGATTGATCCATGATGGAGGGCTGTACTCAGCCAGCCTGCTACGCTGGACCTGGGCGGCTAATGAACCTGATAATTACCAACCACACACTTCGCTTCGGCCTGGCCTCCGTCGACTCTTATTTCCTGTTTCCTTCCGAACAAAACTGGGAAGATAAGACAGTTCTGCACAGGTTGGGAAGTAACACTGATTCCATTCCCCTTCTCCTGCTCTTTCACTCCAGAGGCTGCAGGGGCAGCCCTCTCTCCCTGGTCCTCTGGGGCCTTCTCCTCTTCATTGTGAGATCACAGACGTGACACTTAAGAAATCCCATCTGTCTGCAAAGCACACCTCCTGGTTGTCAGGCGCCTCCCTCCCCACCACATCTAAAAGCAAAACTCACACTTCTTTAACCAAGGGAGTTTCCACACTCCACTGCTTCCTTTTGAGGTTGGTTTTACCAAGACCATGTCTCTACAAAAGCGAAGGCCCACCCAGCCAGAACTTTGCTGCTCCCTTCCCAGCCTCTGCTCTGTGTCCTGGCCCATCCCTGCATCTGACCCAGACTCTTCCAGCAATAAGGGAGCCAAGGCTCTGACCTGGGCTACCTCAGGCTGGGATGGAGTTCTCAACCCTGGGGAAAGTCTGTGCTTTCTTTGCTGTAGGCTGCAGTGTCCTTTTCTCAGAGAGGAATCTCTGGCTGATACCTTAATCAATAACATTTAAGTCGAACCATATAAAATGGCTGACAGGCAACCACTTTTGAACCACACAAATGTCAGTTTCAAGTGGCACAAGTTGAGATATGGGGAGACAGAGCAATTGCTATGTGGTGCAGGCGGCTTGTTGCAGATGCATAGCTTCCAAGACATGCAAATAGGAGTGCAAATAGTCAAGCCCCTGGTGCTCATAAGTTATGGATCCTGGGGCAAGCTACCCTCTCCCTCCCCTCCCTCCAGTGAAAGGATCTTGTAAAGCTGACCTCAAGAGGAGGCCAACGCCACTAAAAATCATTTTGCATCTTTTCAAGTGCCTGTGCTCAATCCTGCAGCCGAGGAGCTCCATGATTTTGCCAAATCTGCATGAGGTGCGTTTGATTTCCACTCTTGGCACTGTGCCTTACACACAGGAACCTCCTACAAGTCTTCAGACAGGTGTCCCTGAGTCACTGAGGAGGGAGAACAGGGAGGTGCTCAGGAAGGGTGAGGGCTGCAGACTCGGCTCTCCTGAAACTATATCCCCTGTCTTGCCCTCTCTGGCTGAGTGACCTTGGATAAACTTGGAATCTTTCAGCCTGACATTCCTCACCTGCAAGATTGGGGCTCATTCTCATGCTGCCCACAGAGCTATTTTGAGGTGAGCACTTGGCACAGTGCATTGCATTCAGCAGGCACTTACTAAATGCATTAGGGGAGAAAGCAGAGGCACTTTGGACCTTTGAAATTATCTGGGCTGCCTGTGGCCTCTCATGCTTCACTCCCACCCTAGGCATTGCAGGAATTTGGTTTATAAAGGTTGTTTTATTTATTTATTTTTCTCCCTGAAATAAAAAATAAAATTTTTTTCAGAAATTTTTTGGAGGGATAAAAAAGAAGTAAGCCAACCTTCACTGAGCTTTTACTAAGCTGGCAGTCTCATTGCTAAATACTCCACATTATTATCTGGTTAGCCGCTCTGCAAATTCTGAAAAGAACGTCCTATGTTTAATTCACTGCCCTGCTGAATGGCTCCAGGGATAGCCATGATGAGAGGAAGGGAAAGGCTGGGACCAGAGCATGGAGAAGGTAGAGATGGTTAGAAATAAACAGCTGACTGCCGGGCTGAGTGGCAAGGAGGTCCCAATCCAGCCCCTCACCTCGCTGGGTGCCCCTGCTCAGGGCTGCCACATGTACAGGGACACCTTCTCCAACTGGCACCAAGATGACAAATAAGCCAGAGATGGTCCTGGTTGGAGGGCTTCAGAAAACATGTCAGACGTCCCCACAAGCAGCGGGTTCATCATGGGGCACATGGGGAGATCAATCAGGCACCATCTCATCCACAGACGGGCTCATCATCTCAGTGGGGGAAAGCTCCCATAGACAAAGACTTTGATCAAGACAGACTACAGGAGTGAGTCACTTTATCCTCTGCAGATGGGGTGCATTTCAGGTATGCTATGGGAGGGATGATGTCACCTGACTGTTGGTCTCATTGTTTATGGAGAACAAAAATGGCTGGTCAGAGGGCATCAGCTTAGCTTGGGACCACTACCTGCCATCCAGGCAATCCACTCAGGTGAGGGCTCAGCAATATTCATCGGTCTCGTCCTGGCTCCCTGGAAGCTCAGAGTCCCCAGCAAAGACCCCAGAACTGTCCTGGTCTTTCACTGCTCTGCCTGAGCTCTTGCACAGTGCTGTGCATGAAGTAGGGGCTCACTCAGCATGAACAACTCTGCACCCTGCTACAGAGGAAGGAACAGGAGGGGCGGAGCTTTCGATGAGCTCCTCATAGCCTAACACAGCAACCAGCAGCATGTTGTACATTCTTCATAAATGGTAGCTGACACATAAAAGGGTTATTATCTCTGTTGTGGGCAAGTAGATGCACTCTGAGAGGGTGAGTAACTTACTTACGACCCTAGCATGTGGCAGGGCTGCAGTTTGGGCCCAGAGGTGGCCAGTCTCAGCATTTTCCCCCAACTTTGCATTACATCCCTTCCCCATCCCCTTTGCCCAAAACTGGGCTTTCCTAAGAGAAAAACAGTGTCCTCTTCAGCTCCATAGGCCACTGTTCAACAAAGGGAGAGATCGGGCACAGAGCAAATGCACAGGAATATTTGTAGAAGGATAAATATTATACGTAGGCCTTCATCCCAAAGAGTCCCATGGGGATAATGGCGACCCATTGCCCCGTTCCTAGAGGTGCTCACAGGTGTCCTTTCTGATCATGACACGGGGGCTCTTGAACTCTGACAGCTTAGCAGGTCCCTAGTATGTTGAATGAATGAGTGAGTGAATGAATGAATTAACGAATAAATGAATGAGTGAGTGAATGAATGAAAGGCCTAGGGAAATGAACGAAGAAATGGATCAGTCCTCTTACACTGCAGAGCCCCAAGAGACAAGCACAGGCCCACCAGCTCTCCACAGTGAGAAAAAAACTTAGAAAGCACAGCTGCTCATCTCAACACACTCAGATGCGTGGCTATTGAACGTAGCTGCTCATGAGACACATGCCAGTGCCAGCAATTGCAGCTCTCTCTTCTGTGCAAATGTCAAGGCCTAGCTGCTGCCTTGACCATGTGACTCGGGGGTGGCACAGGGTTTCACATGGCTGTGAAGGGGGTTTGCAGTCTGCCTGAGTGCTCAAGCCAGTTCAAACCCAGTCTTGTTAGATGACAGCCCCCAGAGCAGTGAGGGCATTGTTTACAACAGAAATGTAGAGATAAGGACTCCTGCTTCACACAGTTATTCTGCTGAACTTGACAGCTTCAATCAAGGGACTTTTATAGGAAGGCTGGGTCCCAGCGGGGTGGACTTGTTATTTCTGGATCCTCTGAGATATCTGGGGATTGGGAGATGAACCTGAAGATAGGGCCTCCTGGCAGCAGATGGGAATAGGGCCAGTCCTTGAGGGTGGCCTTCAGGGGAGGTCCAAAAGCTGCCGAGGATCTAATTGGCTTTCACTTAGGCTCGACACTGACTTTCTGGGACCCTGAGGCAATCAGAAACCAAATACAAGAATCCAACGAGATAGCCTTTGCAGGGCCTGCTCAGCTAGGTTTCATATAGATGGGGTTGCAAGAGAAAGGGTGCATGCCTGGGTGAGGCGCTAATGCAAGCCCCACCAACAGAGGCTGCCCTGCATAGCTTAGGGCAGAAGCCAGCAGGAACACGACCCCCAAGGCTGTTCTCAGGCCTCCTCACCCTCTCTTCGGTTAATTCAAAGTTTAACTAAACGGTGTCGAGCGGAGAGAGATTGAGCTGAACCTAGAAGCAGAGTTTTGAGTGCACATGTGTTTCATACCCAAATAGAAATAGATTTCGTAGGACCTGCTTTAAAAAAACCACGCGCTTGCCCCACCTGCCAATCCTGTTCTACTTCCTCTGGCCCACTTCCTTTTCTCAGGCCCACTCACTTATTTTTTAACTTTGTTTTTTCTGGCCCTCGTTACCCATTGTTTCCAATCAGC